TCATCTGTAGGCTTGTGTTATGCTCTGATACGAATTATATTGCCCAAATTTCTATCCATCGAGATATTGTTTGCATTGGCCTAACATTGGTGTAACTTTCGAGGCGGCCGCCCATTCTAGGATTACTCACGTATGAGCACCTTAACTTTAGAGTTTTTGAGGAAATTTCAATCATTACTTTAAAATAGACATCAATGTTTAAAAGGTTAACTATATTTTATTCAAGGGGTTTCACAGTCTCCCCCACTTATGTAATTGTTGTCCTCGTTAGTTTTCTTAAACCTGGAATCATCTATCAGGCTAATAAGATTCTAGAGTTAGTGTTTACAGACTCAAGAGATGGCTACACTCTTATAGCATTTTTTCCCATCTAGAATCAAATGGTGGTTCTGATGATGTAACATTTTATTCTGTATGACATTGGGTTCCCATATTCATAGGCTGGTGTAATGCTTTAAGGCCATTTTATCACAACTTGAACGCTCATCCGTTGAGCTATTGTCCGCTTTGTCCTAATGGCATCATGGTTTTGTTCCATTAGTGTAATTTTCTAGGAGGACACCCATCTTAGGAGTGCTCCCACGTGAGCATGCTTAACTTTTGAGTTTTCTGATGAAACTTGAACTGTTATATCAAAATGCGTCTCAATACCTAAGAGTTTTGATTCATTCTATTTAAGTTTTTGATGAAAGCTGATTGGGGATATAGTTGAGGGGATGGCTACCAATTCTTGGATAGAAAGAAGATTGCTATTAATATGGCGCAGTCTGAATGAGACAAAATCGATTGTTATGATGACGGTGGATACAAAAACCATGTGGATGGTAGGTTCTGATAATCAATGAATGATTGGTGGTTTCAACAATTAGAAGAATCGAAATTTTTGTTTGTTTGGATTAGTGGATCATCTTCTTTCAATCCAAACAATCTTGTTGGAGGTACAACATGGCAATATCTAGCACATATATGCAAAACACCACTATTTTTTATTTAGGGAATTTGTGAAGTAGATTGACATGGTCACAATCACAATAGTGAAGGTAGTGGGAAAAATTCTGGATTTTTTGGATATTTTTATTTCAATTAATTGGGTTTTTGATGGAAGAATAAAATGAAACAATGTTATGTATGAAAACCAAACTTAAGGATTTTTAAAATGTAGATTAATGTAAAAATTGTTCTTTAACTTAAGTGTCTTATGCAAATCTGAGACCATCATAATCAAATGAAGGATATTTTTCTATTATTAGTATTTTTTGGTCTTTAACACGTTGGGACATTTTTGTATTACATCTTTTTTTCTTATGTTTAGTTTTTTTTTTTTAAATTTCAAAATAACTTCTATTGCATTTTTGAAATTTCAAAAATGTTCAAGGACCTTTATATATATTTTTACTGTTCATCGATGGTTTTAATGATCTAATGCAAATGTGGTGCTACTTTAGATAACTATTTTCAATTTGGGTGCCTGATCTTTTGTTCTCTCAACATCTTGTTAATTTTACAATGACCAAGTTCTCATGTTGATAGGCATAAAAAGGAGAATTCCATGTACCTTTGGGATCCATTGGGCATCATCATTATTTTTTAGGTCAACAAAGGACTGTGTATTTCTCCCCTGTAACTATTGTATTTTCTTTGCTTAAATTTGACTTTTTCTACATTTCGATGATGTTGATTGAATTTGATTGTTTCATGTATATTTGTTTGAAGGAGGAGTATTGTTGATTTCTACTTATACCGAAGCTCGTTAACGATATTATACATTCCAGTAGTTAAGTAACCTTTTATTTCATGTATTTCTTTTTAAGGATAAATGCTCGGAAGTTGCCATACAATGTCATACTTGACTCTTTATGCAAATTTTGTCATTGACTAGAAAGATGCTACACATAGATATGTATATGAAAATTTTGGGATCACTTCCCTGAAATATGCATAATATGCAAAAGTTATAAAAAATATGCATGTGAGCATCTATCATGGACAAAAAAATGAGACTTGTCATCTATAAGTATTGAAGAAAGTTTCCTATCATCATCTACATGCATCAAAACAAAAGAACTACTAAGGAAGCACTTGGCACAAAAAATGAGCGGCCCTATTACATGTGCGATGCGTATGAGAAGACAAAACTTGCTTGAAATGCAAGAGAATGGCTAAATTTGGGGCTTCACGTGAGCGGTGTTGCCAAGTGCCTTTCTCCATAGTGGATTGCAAAAAATTGATAATTTTCGCAGTCGCCTTCAATCATAATGCCCTTAAACTCGAACATCCATGGTTCGCACATGGTAAGAAGCGCCTGACTAGCCCGGAGTTCCACTTATGCACTGCCCCAATGCTCAAAATGCTCCCCGACAACACGAATTCCCGTCCCTAGCTCATCCCGCATAACCTTACCAATATCCTTAACTCCAGATAGAAGTAGGACTCCATTAATATTCTGGCGTCTACTTCCCTCTAGGCTCTGTCCATTTTGTTATCTCCAATATGCAGTGGGCGCTGGGGTGCCATTCAGTAGAATAGACTGTCTCATTCTCTTTCTTGGTGCGCACTCCCTCCCACCCCCCAATATTCTCCAATATGCACCTTGTTATCTACATGCATCAAATATTGGGACAGTGCTCGGGTCGAACTTATGGCCATTTCGTTTCTAGGGAATTTTTTTTGATCCTTGGATGTAGGAAGTGAACGATGTTATTGTTGAAGGTGACAGCCTTAATGTTATCTTCTTTCTCCAACGCTTCACCGCCACCAATGATGGGAAGGAACTGCAACATGAATTCAAGGACCTTGACTTTTTTACCTTTTTTTAAACAGGTGCTCTTTTTACTAACACGCACAACTGGGTCTATGGAAACGCTTTGTGTTGCAAGGCAATGTTTGGGCTAATCGGATATGCCATAATTTCAGTGCTTCTTCCACCTATCACTAACATTCAGTTTCGTAGAATGCAGGGTCTTCCATCTACACTAAAGGGCGAAATATAAGTGGCCATTTAAATGGGCAAAACTTTGTGATGTTACAACTGTGGTTGATTCAGGATTTAGGTATTATGTTATATAAAATTTAATATTTTCAACGCATTTTGTTCTATGGTATACAAGTTCCACCATTCCTAGCCCTCTCCTCTAAGTGAGGAAGTTGGGCACGAGGTTCCAGGTTCATTAGATCATGCTTAACTCTTGGTTGCGACGATCCATGTAAAGAGAGGTAAGAACAAGTGACATAATTGACTTGGTATTTTGAAGGACTATAAGAGCAATGAGAACCCATGGTCAATTTTGCTGTTGCAACATATGAAATGTGATGTGGGGCTCTCTGAAAGCTAAACCAACTGGGCCACTTGGATCAGTTCAGCCAAAGGGTTGCTTGGGCCGGCCGGCTCCTATTTTGGGGGCTAGAGTTGCTACCCAAGAGGAGGTCCCCCCTAGTTATATATTATGTATATGTTATGTTATTTTCGTTAGGGTTCAGTCTTTGCAGAGATTTCTATTTGGGCAGCCGTCAACGTCCCCCTTTTCCTTTCTAGGACGGTATCTGATAATGAAAAGGTGTTTTGGCTCTAACAGGTCTCAAGGTAGTGTGTGTTTTCCCCTAATTCTTCACCTCCTTCCCGTCCTTTGCTTGCTGTCATCCACCCTGTAGCCCCACCATCCTTCCTATGATCCCCCCTCTCTGCAGGTTCCTCCCCTCCAGGTGCCGCTAAACACCTGGTCTCTCTATTTTTCTTACCATTGACCTATCACTGCAACAACCCCAACCTCCTACGATCTCACCCACACCCCCTTCTAAGCCCTCTCTTGCCTCCCACCGCAAATCAGCATGGCCCCTACCAACCAACTCTCACCACTTGCAGCTCATTTCACCACTGTCTATTGAACGACCCACTTCGCCCTAGTCAGAGGTCTGTGTTTTGTTATATTTCCTTCTCCGTTTTGGGTGCTTGTTGTAACACTAGTTGCTTTTACTTAATAATATTTGTTTTCCGTATTATGATTTGGGTTAACTTCCTTATCTAAAGGAAAATGCTAGGGTGAGCTCATTGTTGTCCGTCCATATTAGGATTAGAGGTCTATTATTGCTGCATTTTGACAACATTCTGATTTAGTTTTAAGATTTTTGAAACTCCTTTAAAGTGGGTATTTATAAGAGGGACTTCGTTTGCTTTTATTTGCAATGTTTGGTTGGTGAAGGAGCTACACCTTTCGGATGCCTTCAAGCACTGGGAGTTAATGATCTTGAAAGGCCAGCTAAACATCATTTTGCTATTATTTGTTTGTGCTTTTAAAGTTTTTTTTTTTTTTTTTTTTTTGGACTCTTATCAATGAGGCTAGATGAGGCTGGTATTGGATAGCAACCAATGAAAAATTAGGATTCTTAACGCTTAATTATTAAGTATAGGATTCTCGACCAGGGCTGGACTGCGACGTTACTCAGTATTTATTACATCAGTACTATCTTACTTTCCATAGGAAGGTATCCTGAAGCGAATCAAACTCAGAGTTGAGGCATGGCTGTCTTTTCCAAAACCTCTTCTGGATAAAGACTTGCAAGTTTGCATATAGAAATTATGTTGTTGTGGATTTGCAACTGTAGGATCTACTCGATCTACTCCAATAATTAAGGTTTAAGGATGACACGTTTTGCACTTCAAATATTATAATGGTTTATGCAGTGCTAGGTCGTTTCGTGTATGGTTAGCATTGCTCTCGTTTGTATCTGTTATATTTGGGTTTACACTAACGCTGTTGCCATCCCTGCATAAATATCTTTATATGCTTCCGTTGACAAAATTTTGTGGATTAAGATTTAGTTTACATTGCATATGGTTTTGATTTATTTAACAAATCCGAATTTGGAGATTTTACAGTTTCTTTATTTAAGAGCATGTCAGGTAGCGTTTGCAGCGTTTAAACTTTTATTGGTTTAGCCATCTGTCTGCAACGTATATTTCTTGAAACTTTCTTCTCATGCATGCAATTGTTCTGTATCTGCAGGATCTTTTGCAAGCTGCATTGCCCTTTGATCTATTGCTGGATCGTAAGAAGCGAACTAGATTCGTTAATAACCTAAGGAACTGCGCTAAACCTACGATCCCAATGCCTAAAGTTGTTAGTGATGCTGCTATAGCATTAAAGTCTCTGACAGATTGTGAGGAAGCTCTTGAGCGGGAGTTGCTCATATCTATTTCGTATGACCTGCAACATGACTTGCTGCTTTATTGTGAAATTTATTGTTTCATAATTCTTATGTATTTGACATTTCAGTCTCTCTTACTGCAGCGCATGTAATATAACGAGATGAGAATCAGTGCTTCAAATTACTGCCGCGTTTCCCTTTTCTTTTAATTTATACCTGAAACTATTTTTTTTTTAAATTTAGAAGTTATCTTGAATTTACTTTAAAGATATTCATCAAAGAAACAAATAACATAACTCATCTGCTTTTATGTTTATTTTTACTTTGTAGCTATATTCCAGGGATGGAGGTTAATCTATACAGTCGGCTAAAAAGCTTGTACAGTATCTATTGTAAGGTATGCCACTCCTAATTTATATATGACTGTGATCTGGTGCTTTGATTTACAGTGATTTGTTACTTGTAATTGTTGATTCTCATATATACTCCACAAGATAGTCAATCGAACTTGGAGAGAGGAGCAAATGATGAATGCAGGTGTTTGCAGATCAAAGCTAGTTTACTTCAATCATGCCGATACTACTTAGACAACGTCCAATCATGAAACGGATTGAGCGAGCATATTCAGATCATTGAAATTACTTAAGAAAGAGTCATCATGATTGAAAGGAACAAACATTATGAAAACAACAAGGATCGAATGCGACGCCACATAAATTGGAGTTAATGTTATCCGATTAACGTCAAAATCGCTCAAATAATCTTCGTTCACAAAACGGATGTCGGCCGTTTTTTTTTAACTTCGTGGTTTGAAAAAGTGATGATTTTGTGATTTTTTAAAAATAATTTAAATATGAATATAACCCTTTTTGATTTTTAAAAGTAACATTTTAATTTTAAAATAGGTGAGATCAAACGGGTCTCACATTTTAAATAGTTTAAATGATTGAATACAATACTACAAGTAATACACTTATCCCGAAGAATAAATATATCACTTGTAATAGGGGTTCAATCACCTAGACTAATAAAATTTGTGACATCCGTTTTGATCTGCGAAATATTTTATAAAAAAGGCCAACAAGTTTCCCTATCTAACATAAAAATTAGATAGGGTTTCCTGGGTTCTTTACCTGGGTTCCAAGTTTCCTATAGAGGCAAGCCCCTATAGTTAATTACATTTTAAATGACTGAGAGGAGTCATTTAAGAAAACTCTCGAAGATCAAGTGATTTTGCCTTCAAGATTTCAAAGATTAGGTTTTCACGATTGGACATAGGAAAATCAAATGAGAATGACTCAAAATAGGAACAATTATTTATGGAATCCAAAGGGAAGAAAAATAGGGGATATCACAGATCCAGGAGAAACCCTAGAGATGTCCCAACTATCCTATTGTTTGACTTTATGTCTTTGAAGTGATGATTATTTGATATTCAAATCCTGCAAATTATTTAGAATTTAAGGCTTATGTTTACACAATATCGGACTGTGCAAATAGCCTAAAAAGATAGGAGGATTTACACCGTGCCGCACGTAACCTCGGAATCCTAAAGCGTTAGAACTTATAATTGTACGACAGAGTTATACAAAAAGCCTAAAGAATGATCCTATGAGTTGTTATTTAAACTAAAGAAGGTAATAAGTGATGTGAATGTGTTTTGCTGCTGCAGTGCTGCTGCAGATCCACCCCTCGTCGTGCTTTCCATGATATTCGCTCCAAACTCCTTGCCGTGATGAGTTTAAGTTTTCTAGGGTGTCCAATATGGTTTAGTTTTGAACATGCCTAGGAGGATTTGAGTGTAAGACAAAATCAAATCCCGAAGCATTGAGTTTCAGCAAAAACTAAGCAATAATAAAAATTTCATTATTTGATCTAATTAAATCAGTCATGAATCACAATCTAGTGTACCCTCTTGCCTAGTATCCTAGTTAGCTCATGAACTGGGGTTAGATGCCTGACTTCTTAGGATCATTTGAAAATTAGGAGGATGAACTCTCTCAAGGTGTGTTCATAAGATCTATGAAGCCTACACTTTAGTTTGAGCCTGAAGTGTTCTAAATTGTCTAATCTCAACTAAGTGCCTTTCAACTAACAAAAAAAAACATCTTTAGATTAAATTTAGCTCACCATCAGGCTCCTAGAACTTAAGGGGTAAACCTATAATTTTGGCAAAAGGATTGTGAAGGAACTTAAAGGGTAAACCTATAATTTTGGCAAAAGGATTGTGAAGTGTGCTTCAAGTTTAATTAGAACAATTGAATTTAAGTTTATTCGAAACTTAAGGTACCTAAGTGCAGGTCAACTAATCTTTCCAATCCATGTCCCTAATTGTTACCTAAACTCCCACTTTCTTCCAACCCCTTAATATTCTTTCAATTTATAGTTTCATCTTTCATATGCAAAAGGAATGGTAGATGGTTCACTATTCTACTCCCTTTTAAGTTTTATCACCTCGAAAATTCAAATCTTATTTTTAATTTTCTCTCCCTTTCTCTTTCCCTCATATTTCTCTTAAGACTGTGAATCATTTATGAATATAATTAAATCATAAATTCTCATTTTTAACTTTACCGTTAAAAAAGAAAAAAACAAAACGAACGAAAAGGAGACCGATCTATTTTTAAATCCAAGCCAAATCAGTGAAGCTTAAAATAAAATCATGAATGTATCGGTCTAAAACGTTTAAATTCGTTAAAAAAAATGATCGGATCAATCCCGAGAAGGATATCCTTTCCAGGTGGCACTTTTATGGATTTCCAAACCCAACATGAATTCAATTTATATCAAACTCAAAATGAAGCTTCAAAAGCCTTTTACATTTCATAAAAGAAGAGACACTAATTAATGGAAAAAGTAATTCCCTAGCCTTCTAGAAAAACATACCGATTTCAAAAATAATTTAATCCCATTGTGACATCCGTTTTGATATGCGAAATATTTTATAAAAAAGCCAACAAGTTCCCCCCACCTAACATAAAAAAATTAGATAGGGTTTATTTTATCTGGGTTCCAGGTTCCCTATAAAGTCAAACCCCTATAGTTAATTACATCTTAAATGACTGAGGGTCATTTAAGAAAACTCTCGATTAAGATCATGTGGTTTTGCCTTCAAGATTTCAAAATTTAGGTTTTCACGATTGGATATGGGAAAATCAAATGGGAATGACTCAAAATAGGAACAATTATTTAAGAATTCCAAAGGGAAGAAAAGTAGGGGATATCATAGATCTGGGGAAAACCCTGATGAACTCTCAACTATCATAATGTTCGGCTTTATGTCTTTTGAAATGATGTAATTTGATATTTCAATCCTGCAAATTATTTAGGATTCAGGACTTATGTTTACACAATATCAAACGGTGCAAATAGTCTAAAAAGATCAGAGAATTTACACCGTACCGCACGGTAACCTCGAAATCCTAAAGTGTTAGAACTTATAATTACACAACAAGGTTGTGCAAAAAACCTAAAAGTGATATGTGAGGGTTTACGTTGCGCTAGACAAACTACCTCGAAGTTTTATGGATTGTTATTTAAACTAAGAAAAATGTATAGTGTTGTGAAAATGTTTATGTTATGTCTTTTGATGTTTTGCTGTTGCAGATCCATCTCGAAGTTGTTCCTCGCCATGCTGCTTACGATGTTCGCTCCAAGCTTCTCGTAGTGGCACCTGCTAGTTTAGTGTTAATCTTATACAACCACTAGGTTTTTCTAAATTAAGACATAATGTGTATAAAAAATAACTAAACATGCAGTATAAAGGAAGCAATAGAGGATCATGAAATGAGCCTCAAACATGTCTTTTCCAACTCTCAAAACAATTTTCAGCATATATTTCATTAAAGAACAGCAAGAGAAACAATATATGAGCTCCACATACATTTTCCAGCTCATAAATATAATTTCCTGTATATATTTTGATAAGGGGCAGCAAAAGGGAATAAAAATATAAGCCCAAACATGCTTTCTTTCCATCCCATAAAATAATTTCCAGCATATATTTCATACTTCCAAATATTTCAAGCAACGAAAGTAATAGAGGCATCCCTCAAGCATGCTTTTTCATAGACATAAAATAAGTTCCAGCATGCATTTCATACTTCAAAATATTTCAAACAACGAAAGTAGTAGAGACAACCTTCAAACATGCTTTTCCATAGACATTAATAAAGGAATAAAAATGCATTTCTAGACTACTCTTCCAATGCTTTCATTTATCATGCATACCATATGACTTAAGCATAGAAGAAGAGAAAGCAATCATGGTATGCTATATTCTGATGTTCAAGAAGACTATTTCATGCATAAATCACTGAACATACACAAATCATGCTTCTTCACGCTTTAAAAAAAAGACTGGAAATATTTTTATGCCATCCGAAATAGTGTAGAATAGAGGAGAGGAGAAGAATACCTTTTTAGTGTAGACTTAAAGCAAAACACTAAAATAAGATCGAAGAAAACACCACAGAAATTTCTCCTGCAAGCCTTACACCAAATTTCTTTTCGGATTTCTAGTTTCCCAAGCCGTAAATCCTTCGAACGACAGAGATGAAGGAAATTTTCTTTCGAACAACAGAGAAAGAGTAAGTCCACTTGCTAACCGTGAAAAAAGGAAGAAAGAAAATGCCAAGCTCCTCTAGGAATTTCTTCTCTCAAGAACTCTCCCTTTCTCTTTTTTTTTTTACTCGAGTCGTCGAACCGCAAAAGAAGACACACAAAAAAAAAACTCCTCTAATCTCCGTAAGCCAAAAAGCAAAGAAAAGAAAAAGGAGTGTCGATCGTTTGCCACCCTAACCTACCAATCGAGCAAGAGAAAGGGATTGACACCATAAATGAAAAGAACATATAGCCTCGAGAAGGAGAAGGGTCGGCCAGGTGGAACTTCGCGGTTGGAGGATTGCTCGGTCGAGAGGAGCTCGCGGAGACGAGACG